TCACGACCGTTGGATCCGACGAGATCTGAGCCRTTCATTCTTCTATAAATAGGGGCCTTAGTGGCGATTTTTCTTCATCATTTGTCTCTAGGTGCCCTTGCTATCAAGTGAACTCTGCTCTTAGACACACCTCGTCTTCCTCCTTTTCCTCTCCGTCTCTAGGTAATTCTACAAACCATGTCTTTCTCTGATTTTGGCCCTAAATGCTATGAACTTCCAACTGGTTCAGAAGGAAGCTCTCTTCAGACTCCTTCCCCCCTTTCTCCCTTAGGTCCACTAGTCATCGTCCCCCTTCAACGAGAGGTGATGGTGCAGAGGGAGAGGGTAGTCTCCGGGGGTACCAAGGGCAGCCGCCGAGGCGATGACCCTCCCTGTGAGAGCGCCGCATCCGTGATGTTGAGGGAGGCAGAGGGGTCCCCCCAAGTTGAGGGGGAGCGGATCTCGAAGCCCGTCCCGGGGACGGTGGTCGAAAGCGCTGCCCAAAGGGTGGCCCTAGCTAGCCTTCTGCATTCGGAGTTCAACAGCACTCTGGACGTTGACCAGGTCAAAGCCCTAGCTAGGTGGTTTCATATACCTCGGTCCTACCAACTTAAGGTCCCCGACCTCGGCGACCGGTCGTGGACCCCTGATGAGGGGGAAATTTGTATATACCAGGACTTCTTAGAGTTTGGCCTTAGATTCCCTCTTCACCCTTTAATCTCCGAGCTGTTAGAGTGGTACGACATCACGATAAGTCAACTCATCCCCAATTTCATTAGGACCCTCGTAGCTATGCTAGTGTGGGCTCAACCTCGGGACGTGGAGTTGACCCCGAAGATATTTCGTGTCGTGTTTGTGGCAAGGAAGCACTCTTCCGAGGCCAGCATGTACTATCTTCAGCCATGGAGGGGGAGACCCATTGATAACCCCACGTCAGTCCACAACTGGAAGGGAAAATTATTTTATCTCTTGTCTCGAAGGTTGGTCATTCAGACGAAGTGGGGAAAGGCCTGCACGACAATCGAGAAGTGTCCTCCTCCGCTTCGGGACGAGGAGGCTACTGTCGTGGCTCACCTAATCGTGCTGGGGACGGTCAAAGCCAAGCCTTTGGTGGAGGAGAAGCTTCCCCTAGTGTTCGCAGGGCTCAGCCCTGCCCCCCTCGATAGGAGAGGCTTCATAGCTTTTTTTACACGTCCCCCTCATCCTTGTCTGGTGGTACTGATTCATTGTCTTCCTTTTGTAGATGTGCCAATGCATGCCAAGAAGTTGTTGTTGGAGAGTGCTCGCACCAAGAAGAAGGCCCAGGCAAGCAAGAAAGCAGGAGGGCAGACGCCGAGAAGGCCTGCTGAGGTTGTGCCCGCGAGAGATGAGCAGGCGTCAGTTCCCACCAAGGGGGCCGCTCAGTAATAAGTCCCTGCCAAGGAGGCCACTCAACAACAAGTCTCCATATGCCGAGGGGACAAGGGGAAGAGGCCAGCCGAGGGGGCCAAGAAGCCAACCGAGATGACCAAGAAGCCTACTGAGGTGGCCGAGGTGGGTAAGAAGAGGCCTGCCGAGGAGGCCCTGAGAGAGCAGCCACCAAAGAAGGCGGCCCACGGTGAGCATCCTACTAGGGACACCGCGATGAGCCAAATAGTCCCCACTGAAGGGATGAGAGATCCATTATATGGATGGCTAAACCCTGTAGGAAGCTTGGGCGAAATTTCAAAAATTTCTCTCTCCCACGTGGAAATCACATTCCCTATTTTAGAAAATTGCATTTTCAATGATCAATCTTGAACCTAAACCAGACCAGATCTGAAACCAAAAGGGAGTGGAGGGTTATACCTGATACGAAGTAATAGTAACCTCCAATGAAGGTATTCACGCCCAAGGATGAATCCAAAGATAGCTTCCACCGAAAATGACATGGTGCAAGATGAAGCAGAATCAATAGGATGGCTCTTCAACAAGAACCTGATTCTTTAGCAAGAATCTGATGGAGGGCGAGTGAGCACGACTTCAGATCACCTTTTCTGCCAAAAGGTGATATCAAGAACCCTTTCTTGATCGCTCCTAGAGTGGAGATCGAACAGGTATGGCGACAAGAGCAGGAGAGCATCTCCTAATCCCATTAGGAGAGCAGGAGAGCACGGCAAGAGCAGAAAACAGGAGCAGTCGAACTACAGGTTCTTCTCTCTTTGTAACCTCTGAACTGAATTGTATCTTGGAGGTACTCCCTGCTCCTCTATTTATAGCCTTTAAAGAGAGCATCTCCTAATCCCATTAGGAGTTTCCTAATCCAAGTCTTGTATTTGGATCTAGACTCTCTTTAAAAAGATAAGGATAATCCCTTATCTTATCTGCAGATAAAGATCAGCCCTCCTAATCTAATTAGGAGTTTCCTGATCCAAGTATTTATTTGGATTTGGACTCTCTGAGTGGATAGGGACAATCCCTTATCCTATATGCTGATCTAAATCCCAAAACCGCTCCTCTTTAATTAATCTCATTGAGCCTGTTCGAATTGGGCTTTAGGCCCATTAAGTCTATGTCCTTACTTAACCTCCAAATTGCTGCCCAGTTGGATATCCTTGTATTGTGTGGGACCCAAACATTGATCTACACATCTGCCACATGAGTTCAGCCCAGCCTCTGTTACAAAGTCTAGCCGAATTCACTGTAGGATACAGTGAACCCCTGAGTCCATTACCATAGGCTCTTAATGGGCCCAACATTTACACTAAATGGTCTTTGAGTCAAGCCACCTTATAAAAACTCAAGGACTGTGGGCAAATGCAAGATTAGCCCATTAGGTATTACCCTCAATGGTCTTACACTTAACCTCTAAGCCCATAATGATCAAGCACTGCCCGACAAGAGAGGACCTCTCCCTCGGCTGCAAGGTACAGTGCTGCACTCTCTTCTCACATGAATCCCGGGAATTAAAACCTTTTGCAAACATTTTGAAACCATAATATATTTTGCAAAACAAATTTCAACGGTTGAAATCGACTACCGGCAATTTTGGTTTCCATCAGAGATAGTGCATCCCCGATCATTCACTTTGTGCGACAAAGGGGCTGATCCTRTCACTATGATCACCCACTCAGATGAATTCTTGGACTGTCCCAATATACCTAGGTTTTGACCCCCTTTAAGGATCTCACTGATTGGCATATCAAAGACACCCCAATCCGACACCTAGTGCAGTATCATAATCGAGTCTAGGGATCAGGTGTAACATTCCAGTTTTGCCCATCTATCTCCAAGGTTCAGAGCAATACTAGAATTCTGGTATGGTTCAGGGTTTCAAGAAAACCCACACTRTATATACCTCAGGTCTCACCCTGGCAACTGAAAGCCACCCCAACCAACTTGGCGGCACATCAGTGTCAGCCTTTGCAGGATAAATCTCCCCAGATTTATCCAACGGCTATGAAGATTCTAAACTAACACGAGTCTCATATGTGTCCAGTTTAAGGGTATTACATAGAAACACACCATAATAACATGAATCAAATATGTACTTTATTCATTTACAATAAATGTCATAATGTACATCATTCTGATTGGAGCTAAGGGCATAAACTATCTAACACCCACGTCAGCACAAGAGCTTGTCAGACGAGCCGAATAGTCCTCCTATGTCTTTCGCCCCCGGTGGTCAGTTCGCAAGGGGGATTCAATTACTAAAGAAGGGGTCGGGAAGGCCCTGGTGAGCAGGGCGATCCTCTCGAGGGATCGTTTCAGGATGATACAGAGCGAGCCCCAATCTATCCACGACAAGGGTTTTTACCACTTGCCCGAGGTAACCTTTTGTCTTCATACTTCGTCTTTTTGTTCTTTCTTTGATGTAGTCTTTACTGATGACTCTTGTTGCAGGCCTGTCTCCATTTCGCCGGTCTGGGAGACCAGATGAGCCTCACTTGGATCACTTGGGCAGGCTCGAAAAGGGGGAGAAGCTCCAAGCAGCTGTTACCACTACTGAAGGCAAGTGGGACACATTCAAGAAGGCCCACAAGGATGAGCAGCTACTCCGAACAAAGCTAGAGGCCGATCTGAAGGAAACACAGGCCCACCTCGTCCAGGAGCAAGAGGAGAGGGTTCGCCTCGACAGCATCATCACAAAGGCTAAGCAACGAGCGACCCAGGTCGAAGGGCGGGCTACTGAGGCCGAGAAGCGGGCAATTGAGGCAGAGAAGAGGGTTGTTGAGACAACGGCCAAAACGAAAAAGCGGGCGGCTAAGGCAACGACCGAGGCAATGGAGGCCTTTAAGAAATCACTCAAATACCAACAAGCCCCAACCCAACACAAGAAATGAAACGATAATAGGGGATGGTTGTTTTAGGGTGTATTCTTTTTTTAACTTGGTCAATCAAATTTTGGTTCTCATTGATTAAGAAACCCAAATTATTTTCCAAATTTATGTGAAGATCATAAAATTTGTTTTTCGGGTATCAATAAATGATACGTATCTCTTAAGTAGAAAAATAACTATCACTAGGGTAAAAATTGACAACACTTGAATAAGACAAAAATACTCCTTTTAATAATAAATTTTTATGGTTAAAATAACCATTGTATTATTTACCTAAGAAATCAAAGAACACAAGTAAACCAGCGGGCAAGTGCATTTATGATTTACCCATTACCAAAATGTGAATGGGGGCTTAGCAAAAACAGGATATGATAAACAGTCGGTTCCTTGCAATTAGTTTTCAAAACAGAATCTGCTGACTAAAACCTTCCTTGACAATTGAAAATAAACTGACCCTTGAAAGTGTCAAGTGAACTAGAGGGCCCTTTGTGAGGATAACTTAAGTGAATTAAAAGTAGAATCATGGCCTCCCCGCTTTTGAGGAATTTTGAGGTTGGCCAATAAATCCTCCATTGGAGCCTTGGAGATCCGCCAAAATGCAAACCTTCAGACCCAAATTCAAACTAGGACAAAACAACTTCAGGCTGTAGCTACAATGCACAAACTCACTAGGAATAATAGCTAAATATAAAATTGGGAATTAGGAACCAAATCAAAACATGGTAAAACAAGGTCCACTCAAATAGTATCTTTTGAAAGGTAGTGTTATACAACTCTCCTCCAGCCATCTCCATCTATCTAATTAATTAACCAAACAAATATATAAAAAGACATCATCAATCTTCTACTAATCTAGCAGAGAAAATTGGACCTCCAGGGTTAGGCTCTGTAATAATACCCGCCCCATCTCCGGCCTCAACTTATTGCTCCGCCCTCTTGATATCGTCGTCATCATCCCCACTTCGACAAAAAAAAAGGAGCATGTAATGATAAAAAAGTCGTAGAAACTATATGAATAAAATAGATCCTCAGTGACTCGGTCCCTACCTGCGTCACACCTCAATCAGACAAACCAGCCTTGCTTCTCAGATGCTGCTTGAAATCCATAATGTCACCTTCCCACCGGGTCACAGTCTGGTTCTCACAAACCCATATCTCTTCAGCTACCTGGTTGATGAGCCTGAAGTCATGGCTCACCAGTACCAATCCTCCATCCCACTCATTCAAGGCCTCCGCCAGGGAGTCAATTGTCTCAATGTCCAGATGGTTGGTAGGCTCATCCAGCAATAGCATGTGTGGTTGTCTCCATGCCAACCACGCAAATATCACCCGGCTCCTTTGTCCATCGGACAGGTTCTTCATTGGCATTACCTGTGCTTTGCCTGTCAGCCCAAACTTCCCAATTGCTGCTCTCATTCTCTCTTCCTCATTTCCAGGATATTCCTTTATCATGAACTGGAGTGCAGACATCTCCAGATCAAGTTTCTCAGCCAAGTGCTGATGGAACTGTGCAATTCTAAGGTGGTTGTGGCGCCGGACCATTCCATCAAGAGGAACTAGATCCCCTGTCATCAGCTTCAGCAGTGTGCTCTTCCCTGCTCCATTGGGCCCCACCAATGCTATCCTCGAGTCTAGGTCCACCCCAAAGTCAAGGTTCTTGTAAATAAGATTATCAGGTGTGTATCCAAAYGTGACCTCCACAAACTGAAGTACTGGTGGTGGAAGCTTTCCAACATCGGTAAAACGGAAAACCAACACCTTGTCCCTCACCACCTTCTCTGTCAGACCGCCCCTCTCCATCTTTGCCAGTGTCTTCTCTTTGCTCTGTGCTTGACGTGCCAGCTTTGCAGAACCATGTCCAAACCGTGCAATGTACTCTTTCATTGATGCAATCTGTTCCTGCTCCCACTTGTATTGTTTCATCTGGTTCTCTTCAAGTTCTGCACGTGTTTGAACGTATTGGTCGTAGTTACCAGTATAGAGCTTCAGCTTCTTGTTCTGCATGTGGATAATGTTTGTGCAGACACCGTTCAAGAAATCCTGGGAGTGTGACACCACAACTAGGATACGGTCAAATTTCTTCAGTGTCTCCTCCAACCAGACACAGGCTTCTAGATCTGTACAACGCACATAAAAAAGATGAGCAACAAATTGTCCTAGACTGTTAATACAATTGGACAGAATTCAGGAACATCAGTCAGTTAACACAAAAACAAGTATCTTGGTTGGGCACATCTCCTTTGTGATAAAAAAGGCACAAGTCCACGTGAAAAGGACCAACAGAGAAGTGTTAATAACAATATATACAAGTGAACACACTGATATATTTTTTTCAGTATAATGATTAGGAGCACATCTTGATGAAAGGAACTCAAGACCCTGTTAAAAGGAAACAAGAAAAGTGATCATAATAATGCATAGAAACTGATATTTCCATCTTCTAGAAAGGTGTTTTATTGGGACATCAATCAGGGCCATGTGTCATAAATTACCACCCAAAAACAAAATCAAGGAAGCGAACCAGGAAAGGTTGTCTCAACACAGCAACTAAACAATGTTGCTAACATGGACAACAAGATACCTATTGTCATGTTGATAAAGAAATACAAAATACGAACTTGATAATAATGAGAACAACAACAAAATAGGTAGCAATTACCAATTACTAAGACCCCATTCAGTTTTATGTGGAAGGGGGAAAACCACTTACAAGAATTCAGATATGTGTCTTCCCCTTATATTGTAAAAATATTGTTTTTCTCCTCTTTATAACAAAATAAAATGTAGCACAAAAATTCCCACATATATGACTGGCGCGCTACCTTTACTACACCACAAAGCACCATCACCAAAATAATATCAAATTATCTAGCGTAGGTAGGCCATAAGATACCATGTATAAGTAACCCTTTAGATTATAAGATGCAAACAAGTTTCTTTTCTTAACAAGAGAAGGCTTAAGTATTCAGAAAAGTCAAAACTTGTATTTAAAAGATCATGACAATTCTACCAATAAGACATTATTTTTTTGTTATGATAAGAACGACTAGTTCTCCAGCAATGACAATTTCCATTGAGGATATTATCAAAAACAGAAATTAAAAACGTAGACCAGATATTTTGCATTGATAGCACAGAGATATTTGGTCTTGCAACCTAGACACAAGAAACAGATAGATATAAAAGATTCATAGACCTGGATTCGTTTCTTTACAACATCAGATCTTCACTAGGGTCATTAAAACATACCAAGATGGTTTGTAGGTTCATCAAGCAACAAAATGGTTGGGTTCATGAACAAGGCTCGTGCTAATGCAATCCTCATTCTCCAACCACCAGAGAAATCCCGAGTTTTCTTTTCTTGCATCTTCTTGTTAAAACCAAGACCATATAAGATCTCTGCAGCACGTTTCTCTGCAGTTGATGCATCTAATGCTTCCAAACGCTCATAAATGCGTTCCAGAGTATCTCCTCCACCACCATCCTGAAGAGGCACAAAGTTAAACAATACAGTATCTGCAAGAAAAAAAAAAAAAAGAAAAAAAAAACAAGCTCTTCAGTCAAATCCTCAAACTGTCAAGTTATCTAAACAAACCTCTGCTGCAAGGGTTTCAGCTTCTTTCTCCAATCTCAGCCTTTCCTCATCACAGCTTATTACAGCCTGAAGGGAAGACATGTCAGAAGCTTCAATTTCCCTGGTGAGGTGATAAATATCCATGTGGTCTGGAATAGGAAGCTCCCTGCACCCTATTGCTGCAAGGAGAGTAGATTTCCCACATCCATTCAATCCAAGCAAGCCATAGCGCCTGAAATCAATAAATAAGGTGGCAAGTATGAATCATCAGTTCCACAATTCCACATGAAAAGGAATTATATGAACGGTATAGAGAGTAGGTTATAAAGTTAACCAGACCTTCCATAGTTGAGCTCCAGTTCAGAATCCACTATGAGATCATGACCGTGGAAAGTAACTGATAAGGACTCTATCTGTACACGCATAAAAATCAGTAAGCATCAGTTTGATGACCTATTACAGGAATAAAAAAAAAAAATCTGGATAGGATTGAGATGGAATTGGAATGAATAAAAAGGTTTGACTTCCATGGAGAAATATGAGATTCAACAACAACAATAAATCCATGCAAAGTAACAATATGTTCAGCTTGGTTAATATCTCCAAGCATGACTAAGAATAAAATATTAATCACTCATTTGATAACAGCTAAAGTTCCTGAGCTGAACGGCTTATTGCATTGCCTTCTAATGGGAAAAAATAATTAAAAAATAAAAATTAAGCGTATAATAATAAAACCAACTCTGGAATCAGCCACCAAGGACAAAGCAATAAGCTTTTCAGTTCAACCATTCCAGCTGCTACCAAACAGCCCCCAAGTTTATGTAGTCAATTATCAAATGCTGACCCCTCAATGATAACAGATGATATTCTTATAATAAAAATATATCCTCAATTTAACAAAACTAGGACCTTCCACAAGAAAAAGATCGGAGAAGTGCAGGTAGAATTCTGATATACGAGTATATCAAGCTAACCACAGTCTTGGAAATCCCCAAAAAAGCCACATATTTGGTCTAAAAACATTAGCCCAAGTCACTGTAAACACAAACTTAATGACAGAACAAAGTTTGATCAGAAATGATTTATAAACATCAGAATACCATCAATGGTATGACCAAAAGAGAGCAAAAACCATTCCCGCCATACCAATCTAATATACTAACCAGTTTCCATTAAAATCCGATATTAAAAATGGTAAAGACATGCAAAAGAAAGTCGGCAATCATTACAACAAACATAGAAAGTTGAAGATACTGCTTCAGTCAGGTAAGTTTACAAAAATCCCTAAATTTGATTACTACGAGATGTCCCTAAACATTGATTTACAGACCCATCCAGGCTACAATTTTCATACAGTTTCAAGCTTGTAGTGAAATAATTAAAAAAAAAAAAAAAAAAACGAAGTGGCATTGACCAAACATACATGGATATCTCGCGAAAGTGGATGAGAAGCCAGAACTCCAGTACATGTCCGATCCGACATCTGCAAAGAACCGACCCCATTGCTTAGCTTCTCGACGCTGCCTCCATTCTGCACTTCGGTTGCAGCCGCTTTCGAGGATGCAGCCGCCGCAGCTTTTCCTCCCCTCTTCGCAGCCGCCGCAGCCTTCTTTGCCGCTGCCTTCTTCTTGCTTGCGTCCGACACCATGATTCTGGTTAAAAGTTAAACCACACAAAAACGATCTGTAAAAATCCCTAAAGACAGCATCCGTATCCAAATCGAAGAAAAAAGAAATCGAATTTTAAGGAAAAAAAATATATACAGAACCCAGATCGATGAAATCTGAGAGGATAATAAAAATAAAATCGGAATAAGAGAAAAGCAAATCGATAACGAGATCGGATCTTCATATACCTTTGACGGCTTCGACGCTGTAGATTTAGGGGGAGGAAGAGTGGTAACCCAGAGAGAGAGAGAGAGAGAGAGAGCAAGCCTCTAGGGTTTTGGTTTTGAAGCAGCTCTTGGGGTCTCCCCTATTTCTTTTTGGAGTGTTTCGATTGAAGGCCTCTGCTGCTCTTCTTTTTTGTGAAGAAGAGAAACGAAACCCGATAACAAGGGTTCGAGGGCTCGAAGTGGAGGCCCCGCTGTGTTATTTATAGGCGTAAGATCTTACAGAAACCACGTGTCAAAAAGAGATCGAGTCAAGTCAGGCTGAGTTAATGCTTTCTCCCTGTCGGAGTCGGACTCTGTCTTCCCTCTCCCATCTTCTCTAGTCTCTTAGATTTCGGTACGCTATAATATCATATCGTACCGGAAGAGAATAAGACCGAAACGATACAAGATAGCCACGAGGCAAGGCAAGTATCATTCTGATCGGACGACCTCGACGGTAAGCACTTTCCGGTTTCCATTTTCCCAGGCTCCCTAGTTCCTAATGGCGGTGATGGAAAGGAAAATTGAGCACCTGCCTTGCTAATGTGCGTTAAACTTTTAAAGTGGTTTTTAAAAATTTTAGGCCTTGTTTGGCAATAATTCGTATTTTCGACGGTATGAAAGTAAAATTATTACACTGGTATATGAAAATTTTATGCCTTTTGATTATCAGGATTCAGGAATTGATGGTGCGCAATCCGGCCGGTCTTAGCTGTCAACGACCTTGCTTCTGAACTGAGTAGCAGGGAACCTGAAACGAAGAAGATGAGGAAGCTCCGGGGGGAACCCGGTGTAAAGGCTCCGAAGCTCAAGTTAGAATCCTTCAAAGGAAAGATAAAACCAGATAGCGCAAAGTTTGCATACCTTGTTCTTGGGGGGTAGAGAGTCTTTTATAACCACCTCGCGCACTCACTCCTAGGCTTCTATCAAGTCGGGTATGATTACTTCCGTGCTTCTGCCAGTTCGGGTGTCATCACCTCTGCTGGGGCAGAACCGCCACTGCTCCTTTTGTCGGAGCCGTCTCTGTAACTGGAGATGGCGGTGGCAGGTGGCAGTGGCAGGTGGCCGTTGAAGTGCGGCTGTCAAGCGTCAGATCCCAAGTCAGTCAGGTGCGCCGCCCCTGGATACGGACTCCTTCGGTGTC